GTACGCCGGGGCGCTTTCGGAGAAGACGAGCGGGGCGGGCATCTGGCGCAGGACGGCGTGCCAGCGCGCGTAGCGGGCCCGGTACTCTTCTTCCAGGGTGCGGGCATGCTGCGGGAAGACGTTGCACCCGTCGAGCTTGAGGTAGTCGATGCCCCAGTCGGCGAAGGTGTGGGCGTCGAGGGCCTCGTGGCCGAATGAGCCGGGGTACCCGCCGCAGGTGAGGTTTCCTGCGTCTTGGTAGATGCCTAGGTGGAAGCCGTGGGCGTTGAGGTGGTGGGCGAGCCAGGGTATGCCGTGCGGGAATTTGGTGGTGTTCCATTGGAGGGAGGAGTTCGGGGCGCGGTCGTGGGCCATCCAGCAGTCGTCTAGGTTGAGGCGGTTGTAGCCTGCTTCCCGGAGGCCGGTGGAGATCATTGAGGAGGCGGTTTCGAGGAAGAGCGTCTCGTTGAGGTCGCACATGAAGCGGGCCCAGTTGTTGAAGCCCATTGGGGGGGTAGGGAGGAGATTTGGGGAGGGGATAGAGGCGAGGGAGAGGGGGATCATTGTCGGTATGAGGGTGTATAGGAGGGACATGGTTGTGTGCATTGTGATATGTCTAAATCGTTGAAAGACGGTCGATTATCTGCGAGTACTCGGTGGATTATATACCTAGATGAGGATTCCCCGCACCTGATCTGCAAGGAGAGGATGCTTGGTCATGATATGCATGCATGATACTACCGTGTCATTGCAGGAGAGGGGATGAGATGGTCAATCATCATCCAGTAGAATCAGTTACTCAATTTAGCTCAGTCAACTTCTCCCGGTCACTTTGTTCATATAGTGTCTGTTCTGGATCTGTTCAAATTCGACTGTTTGCATAAGCGCTGGAAAGCAAACATAGAAATTGATGCCTACCTTGAGCAGCCACTGACCTACTTCTGCTAGTCACCAGATGTGAGAGAGAGCTTATACAAATGTAAATACCCATCTATAGGCACCACCACTCCTGACCAAACTCAACTTCTTCAACCTCGACGTTCCGCACATCTGACCAAGAGAGGAAAAGTCAGTGAGAGTAACAGTGATGAAGAAGATGGAAATGATAACTATGAATAGAATGAAGACTGCATCAGAGCGCTGGGGAGTATAGAGAAAAAGGAATGAGAGAGATGAACAGGCTTGTAAGGCTTCCGTGGAGCATCTCCCTTCGCCTCCGCATCTTTCGAAGGATGTTTGCAAGAAACTTGAAAGAGAAGCAAAGCGAGGGAGTTGAGGTGCGTCATTGGGAATCCAAAATTACTTCTGGTAATGCTGCGAAACCTCCATAGTCAGAATTACAAACTTTCCAAGGGCAGAGTCTCATCGTGATGGCTCATCCGGCTATACTCGCGGACTACTATGACTGCGCTAAGTATGTCCGTGTCTTCGCAGTCTGCAGGATCACATCGCTTAAGAACAACTTCCCGGCTCCTATTGTAGAATCTGATTCTGTGACTGTGGATTTCGTTCATCTTCAAGTTGCGATATTCCTTCCACCATGCAGCGGATCAAGACAAGCGGCGAGAAGCCTTCAGACCCTTGGTTTTCCGTCTCCCGAAAGTGTTAATAGTAATTCAGACCTCTTGTCGCTCAAGTCACTTACCCTTTACATAGATGCCATTAAGGCACCGCGTCCTGGCGCTTGATTGCCTGAGGCCATGTTCAAAGGACCGGTGCCAGACATGGAGGACTGTCTCAAACGGTGGTGGAAAGGAAATAACTCGAATTGTATGGTTGCAATCTATACGTTAAAGTTCAGACCAATGAATACGAGGCTTTTCCATCCAGAAACAATCTCCTGTTGCTGTACTGAGATCGCAGCCCGGTCTATCAACCCACTGTCCATCCCCGGTACAGCCACCAAAAAAGCAGGCGATTTCCCTCGTCAAGTCTTCCAGGAAACCCTTCCTGATGGTTGATGGCATCTAATTCATCAGCTATTGCAACAGACCTCACTCAACGAACCTCACCTAGAATCCTCTTTGGAATGGGCAATGCCAATGAATCCATCCGCTGATCCAATTGCTCCATAGCCGTTGAGCCTGCCTCCCGAAACTGATCTGGAAGACGCAACACCCACGAAACCCACAACCACAAGACAATAGCCCTTGGCTGGACAAGAGAGGAGCATCTAGGCCTCAAAAAGGCATACCAAGACAGCGCCATGAATTGAATGGCGTCTATACATTGATAATAGTCGGCGATGACGGTGATCTTCGCCAAGAGCTCTAACCCTACTTTCCAGGGCAAATCGCGGTGCCGTCCGTGGACAATGTTCAGAAAAATCAAGAGCGCCTGGTCATCCCAGTCATAGACGGTGAATGTCACAGAGCCGTCTGTGCCTAGGGTGCGGGTCTCCTTCCACCCTCCTGTCAGTGCTGCGCGGAAGAATGGAGACGCAAGTATGAGATGTCGCGATGAGACTTGGTAGGTGTATTCATCGTTGAATGCAGGTTTGCCTAAGCACTTAGCATGCACTCTCATGCCTGTACTCGTGCTCAGGGAAGTATGACATACGTGCATATTCAGTTAAAATACATTCGCCTTCGCTCATTCTCCGTGGCCGTCGTCGTCGAGTAGGCACTCTCGTTAGACCGGTTGCCGCCAATTGGGCAACATGAGTCTCTGATGCTGCAGACTTTGGTGATCCATTCTGGGTGTCCTGATCAGCGAGGGTGAGATCAAGGAGCGAGTCGACTGCTTGTTCGTTATTCAAAGGATGCCACTGTCTTGATCCGAACCACGGGGGGAATTCCTCATCCTCTCCATAGTCCCATTCTTCACATACGGCAAATGGAGCATTTGGGTCGAGGAGTTTGATGATAACGTCCCCGTTGGGATCGATGATGTGTGTTGGGTGCTTCATTTGAGAGGCAGAGCTTACTGTTGTGTAGGACTGGATACATACCAGGATGGCTTGTTTTATAGCTTGAGGCTATTGAATCTCGAACAAAGAAGGAACACCCTTTGTGATGGATCTTTGTCTCAATCAATACATGCAGTTTCTTTATGGCCGTGCATATTCGCAAGCGGACTGACTCAGTGGGTGAATGAAGCCTATCAATTACTGAATAAGGAAGGTTCATTTGACCACGAAGCTGACAGTGTTTCATGAAATTCACACAACCAGCTTAAACCTCAACAAGAGCCCTGAAAGCAGACAATAAATCCATCTTCAGGTCCTGCCAATTCTCCAACCCAACACTAATCCTCAGTAACTTCCGATCAATCCTGGAATCCGACAACGCCCGCCACTCGATCAACGACTCAACACCCCCCAAGCTTGTCGCATGCTGGAACAAAGCAAGCTTACTTGGCAGTGTCTTCGCCAGCTTCTCATCCCTCATGACAATGGCAAACACAGGCCCGAACCCATTCGGCATCTGCTTCTTCAGCCACTCCTCATTCTGCAAACTGGCATGGTAGATCTTCACCAGCACCCTTTGCACGATCTCCTCATCGCTACCCGGCGCCGGCGACGGAGCCGTCAAGGCGTCGTTCAGCCATGAAATCAACTTGGCCGAATTCTGAGTAGCTCTCTGCACCCTAACTTCCAGCGTACGCAGACTACGCACACCGAGCCAACTCTCCAGGTTCCCCATGACGTGGCCGAGCGCGACCCTATCCTCCAGCAGCTGGCGATGCCATTCGGCACGTTTGACACCAAGCACACCGCAGAGTATATCGCTATGGCCGCCGAAATACTTGGAGCCGGAGTGCAGCACGACATCCGCGCCCCAGAGGAAGGGATCCTGCAAGCCGGGCGGACCAAAGGTGCTGTCGACGATGAGGTAGGCTCCACGGGAGTGAGCTTTTTGCGCGTACGCTTCGATGCTGAATGCCGTGCCAAGCGGATTGACTGGCGTCTCGAGGAGGATCACATCGCCTTTTTCTAGCTCTTCGGCGGGACAGTCCAGGGGGAGCTTCTTGAGCCCTGTGAGACGGGCGAGCACCCCGATGACTTCGTGACTGCCGTGGTAGCCTTCGCCGACGGAGATGCGCCGGGGGTTCAGCATGATCAGGGCTGCGTGTAGTGCAGCTAAGCCGGTGGCATAGCTGACAGCGTGGCTACCAAGTAAGGCGGAGAGAATTGCCTCGAAGCGGGTTGCGTTGGGTGCAAACTCCCGCGAGTAGACGTAGTTCTTGCCGTCGAATTCGGCCTGGGGATGTTAGCTGAATCCTGGAATGGCTTTGGGGACGTACAATAGGATCCTCAGACGGAACCAATTGATCAGGATCATTGGAGTATCTGAATGTGGTCGATAGATGGATTGGAGGTGCGACGTCTGTCACCAAGTTGAGTCGATCGTCGGCATGAAGGGCCTTGGTGGCCGGGTGGCTGTCTTGTGAGAGAGGCATTTTGTTACTGGTTGCGTGTGGTGACAGAATGAAGATTTCAATGAACAAACGTGGTTTCCTCAATACCTATTTATAAGGTGCATTTCACAGACCACAGTTGATAATAGTGGCAATCGACGGCTCCACTCCCCAGAATTTCCTAGAATGGAAGTGGTGACGATTTTGATCGATCGAATGGTGAAGCACTGATAGCTATGAGCCTATTGGCTGGAGGAGATGCCCCACTCCTGTCAACTGCTGAAAAGGGAATAGTCAACAGATCCATCAATGCTATTGGCCACCTGCTATTTCAAACTGCGATCAATCTAGTCTGACCAATCATTGTGCAGACATTCCACCCTCTCATCGGCCGTTTTGTAATGTCTTTCTGCATTGGGCCGGGACAGTTATGACTCCTAGCAGTCCCGAGGATGTACGCCCTGCGCCGACAAAGTCTGACTCGGCGTCATGAGCCAATTGAAACCATAGATATCATATCACTATGACTAGTTAACTGATCAGACAATCGATGAATATATAACCACGTCCCCTGCATCAGAACTGACAATAACCCTCTGGACTACAAAGACCAGATCATCATGTATCTCCGCGCCGTCCACGCCGAAGCACACCTCCCCCTCCTCCAACAGTTCATCCATGACAATCCCCTCGGGATCCTCACCACCGCCATCAAATCCCCCAACTACCCCCTCCTCCAATCCAGCCACATCCCCTTCGTCCTCGACGTGCCAGACTCACCCGCCGACAATGCCGATCCCACCCCAGGCACTCTCCGCGGGCACATCGCCAAGCAAAACCCGCAAGCGAAAGCACTAATGGACGCCCTCGCCCAGCACCAAGCACAAACCCAATCCGCGACCCTCGAACTCCCCGACGAAGTCCTCATCCTCTTCAACGGCCCCCACCACCACTACGTCACCCCCAAATTCTACAAGGAGACGAAGCCCGCCACGGGCAAGGTCGTGCCCACCTGGAACTACTCCGCCGTGCAGGCATACGGCAAGATCACGGTGCACTGCAACTCCAAGGCCGAGGAGACGGGTGCGTTCTTGTCGCGCCAGGTGAATGATTTATCCCGCCATGCGGAGACCTCGATCATGGGGTATACCGGGGGTGAGAGGCCGGGGCCGTGGGAGGTAAGCGATGCGCCGGAGTCGTATGTAGAGCTCCTCAAGAAGAATATTATCGGGGTGGAGGTGAGGATTGAGCGGTTGCAGGGGAAGTTTAAGATGAGTCAGGAGATGGGGGGTGGGGATCGGGAGGGGGTTATTGAGGGGTTTGAGAAACTGGGGACGGAGGTTGGGA